TTAATTTGTGGGTTATCCGAACTTGACTTGAATAACCTATTTGTTTAATACTTTTTTTAACCTTCTCAGCTTGGTAGTATGGTGGATTTTTTTTTATAATGGAGTTTCCATAAGAATATATAAAATTACAACCCAATCTCGTTGTAATTTTTTATTTTTCTTTTTGTACAAAAAAATTATGAACAAAAACAAAATTACGACACTTTCACAAATAAAATACCTTATTTTCACATAATATTCATGATTCCATTCTTATAATACTAATTTATAGCCTTAGTTAGTTTTTTTATTTACTTTATGCCTCTAATTTATTAATTAGATTATAAAATTATATATTAAACAGGTCAAATAGGTCAACCAGTGAGTTGACCTGAATTGGACCTATTTTCTTAGTGGGACATTCGGATTTGATCTGAATTTGACCCGAACTCGTGATGAGTAAACCCATACTCGCTAATTCATATTAGATTCGAATCGTATTTTGGAGTCGTGTCAAGAATTGTCACCCCTAATCAAAGATGAGCAAAACCTGAATGTAACTATAATGTCTCATAAATTAGGACATTAATACTTCGAAAAACCTACTAAGAATAGCTCATATAACCACCATAGAAGGAATGAACCTTTCTACTATATTCCAACAAAAGCATAATAGCATCTAGTCACCAGATGATGCAATGAAACCTCAATTGTGCTCATCAAAAATCTGTAAAATTGAAATTAAAATAAAAATATGAAATAAAATTAAACAAATAATTATGCAGATGTAGAAAAAAAGAAGCAAAAGTTAATTTTTTTTTTTACCTTTTGGACACGTACAACAATTGTACCCAACTTCCTTACATGTGAACACAAGATATGGTAGGAAAAGAAATTAAAATAGTAGTAATATAGTCTCATCAAGATGAAAATGGGGTAGTGGAAGTGCAGATAACATGATGGGGTGTAAATAACATTATCCAAAAAAAAAAAGCAATAGAAAAAATTTACTGGAGGTATAATTAGCTCAACTATCTGTAATGTTTTGTATCGTGTCTAACGAAATTTATACTAAGATATATTATTCTCATTAGTCATATCAATGGGTAGAATCTGGATTGTATCCCTTTGATCTAGATCCAAATCCATTAAATTTAGTTAAATTTAGATCCAGACCCAGATCCTTATGGGTCTGAAAAAATAAGTCCATTAAACTCATTAGGCATATTAATGGGTAGGGCTCAGATTACATCCCTTTGATCTAGATTCAGACCCATTAAATTTAGTTAAACTCAGATCTAGATCCAAACCCTTATGGGTCTGAAAAAATAAGTCCAAATCTAGACTCTTATGGATCTGGATACCCAATGGGTATTCGCTGTATTTTTCTAAATATACTAAAGTAAAAATATATAGATTTTAAAAAATATAAACACCATCCAATTTTTATTTTTAAATAATAAAATAAATATTCAAGAAGTTGGATGCAATATTATGTACTCAAAAAATAATTATTATTAACTACTTCGATTTATTTTTTAAATTTCAACTATATCTAAGTCCAATCTTTCATTTATTTGCCTTTACTTTGTCTCCTTTTTATAAAAAAGTTTGTACTAATTACAATGATAACTAGGATTTGTTTGAAAAAAGAAAACAATCATGAAATCTTATTGTATTCGATCCAATGGCTATAAAATATTAGAATATTTTATAAATTTACTACTATATATTCATAATTTAATTATATATACATGGGTTTAGATTGGGCCTGGTATGTATTTGGATTTGGATATGAATCACACAAAATCAGACTTTATCCAAATCCATAACTTTTTTATGGTCTGGGTCTTGATAGGATCTGTATTTAAGAAATTAAATTCAAACTCTATCCAAGTACATTAGATCTGGGTTGCATCTGGAAAAGCTCCTATCAATTGACATACCTAATTCTCATGTATAAGCCTTCTAGTTTGATTCTTGATTAACCTAAATCTAAAGGCTTTGTAGCTCATCAAATTGAAATGCAAGGATGTTGCAACTTTACAAAGATTATGAGACATACTGTATCTTTTTTTTTTCTACCATTTTTGTCAGAAATACACAAACGGTTACCTAAGGTAACTCCACAAGAATACCTAAAAGGCAATTGCTGACTTCTAAGTTCTGAGTATACTTGAGGACCTTAAGTACCACTCACACACACCTAACACGAACGATGTGGGAACCGGGGAAAGGGCAAACCTATATGGAGATTTTCTATGGGACATCAGCCCAGAAAATTAATTTGGAAAATTCTAAGTTGTATGCCTCACCCTAATATTAGTAGATCCACTGCCAGAAAGTTTAGTCGATGTACTCAATTTCCCTGGATGAATAAAATATTGGGTGTTATTTGGGAGTTCCAATCATTCAAGGCAGAATCACTAAGTCGACTTATACATGTATTATGTACTTCTGTTGACAAAGTGAGGAGCAAATTATCTAATTAAAAAGAGAAAAATCTTTTCTGGTTTTCTTTGTGAAAACCAAAATCCCAAAAGTTTGAGTGAGATTATGAATTTGGCGATATTTGTCAAACTTTATATGACTAAATAAAGCTTTTTAGACAATTATCACAACTCATAATCCAGTTAAAAATTTCAGACAAGAAGAGAGATACTGTATGTCTATTTTCCTGAGAACATATCTTCCTCGAAATCACTTCAAAATAGCCCTAGTTTGGACACATGCACGCAGATAAGGTTTAATCAACACTTGAGTAATCAATTTTCACGGCATTCAACCCTTCATGTTTCATTTTGTCACATTCCAATACTCCATACTTATTGAGAAAGCCTAAAATAAGACATTATTCCTACACCTACACGGCAGAATAACTCAGAAAAGGCAATGAGAAGCACTAATTGATGTTCCGCAATCTGGAGGGAGTGAGAAGTTCGTATGGACTAAAAGGACTGCGGGAGCCATATGCAAATCCACCACCGGCTGATGAATCAGAATCATCAACCATGGCCTCTTTCCCGCTATCCATCTCAGCCAAAACTTTGTAAAAAAGATCAATATCACATGGAAGCAAAAGAGGGCCTTCATTGCTATATGCATATTCCAATTCAGCATCTTCAACAGTGGATACCAAATCTTTGTTTCGCAGCGCCAACATATACCATTTGAATATACACTGAAAAACAACCTTTAGGGGCAATCTTATACCTTGTTTTGTACTCATCATGATATTGCTGGGATTTTTCAGCTGATCCAGCACAATGCCATGATTTACTCTTCGACAAAAAAATGATAGTAGCACCCTCCATTCTTGAAGATTTTGGAGGAATGCTTTGAAATGACAAAGAAACCACTAATTTCTTGATCGTTCAATAGTTCTTCCATTGGCTCTTTCCACTATCCATAAGCCAAGGCAAAAAATTGTTAAGTTGTCAGACCATACAAAATTACAAAAACTACCAATCATGAAAATCACAAAATACTAGTACTACTATATACTTGCAATACTCGAGCACTTTGGCTTCGCTTTGACAAATTCTAGTTAGTAATTTTTCTATCTCTGCTGTCATATATATAGCCCTTGGGAGAAAGTCCCATAAGGGATGAAATCGATGAAAGTGCGCTGCTAATTTGATCTATCCGGCAGTCGGAGAGGCCGCAAACGCTGTATAGTTCCCCACAGAAGGTAAATACTAATGACCCAAATTATCTAACGTCCTATGTGAACTCACGGACTGGACAGCCTTGAGATGTGGTGAACAGATTCCTAATTGAATGTGAATAAAAAACTTCAGCCCTTATTCTTGATTGATTTTTTTGGTTTTTTTTTTTTGTGTAAAGAGAAATCCATCAAGAAATTAGTTGTTTGATACAATAATGCCTCGAACAACCAATTGACTTGGGAAAAGACAAAGTCTAATGCATGATTTGTTTTTCTTGTGTTTTTATAAGGCACGCAATTGTTGTTGATGGGACGGCTGATCTTATTAAACAACTGAGATTATTGAACCATAGAGTTTAATTGTCTTAACAATTTTGAAACCCAAAGAAAATATTAGAACTCAGTAATTTAAGCCTCAACAACTCAAAAATGAATCTTTTTTTTTTTTTTTGTCAATCAACAGCAATTCAAAAATGAATCATGAATGCCGTGAATTTTCCTCCAATATCTCGTGTCTTTCAAGAATCTAAACGATTAGCATTTTTTTTTCTTTCTTTCTTTTTTAGTTTAAGAGGAGATTCCAAACCTTTTCTAAAAAATGAGTTTAAAAGTTAAATCAAGAATTTTATGATCACGTACTAGTATTCCTACCAACTAAGCTAGACATTGGGTACAAGAATGAGCCTTTTATTCACACCTTCAGGCATGATATATTTGACCCCGAATTTGTTTAAATTTCTGTATCTTTATTTTATTGACTATTCAATGTTTAATTGACAAGATGCAAAATTGGTTTTGTAGTGCCTGTGTACTCTTTAAGTCGGATTACATTTCCATGTACCTAAGATTCATATATAACGTCCAAGTCGGCGGCCTTGCCAACTATTAATTTCTATGCATATGTGCTCTGGTTTTAATCCCATAAAGAAAGTTTTACTTGCTCCAAATTACAGGCCTTTGGCCGTCTTTCTTATTTCCTTTTCACACCCACTTTGTCTTTTCCTTTCAACTTATTTGTGCCTTGAATTATCTTCTGTCTTGTTTAAAATTATGTGGGTTTAAAAAATTTCAAGAAATTTGGAAATTAATGATCTCATATTTGATCTAATGAACTCTTTTCCATCATTCTTTTTGATCACGTAACAAATTTTGAATAGCTAATACTCAAATTTCCATTAGATCTTAGAACTTCAAAATTTGTCATTGTTCTTCATGCCTTTAGGATTAATGATGGTCCAGTTAGATGATTAATCTTTGACTTTTGGAACGAAGAATATAGATTATTACTCGTAAAGTTTGTTGGAATATAGATTATGCATAGAAAGCCTTCATAGCATATAATACTTTCTGTATAAAAACCGAGAAGTCACATATATATTATATAGGCCTTCTCACTTACGGAAATTATCATTGATAATAATAATTAGAGAGAAGGGAGTCAAGGGACATAGCACAGGCAGGCGCATCTATGGCCATGTAAAAAGGGACAACTCGCTGTGGAGTTTGGCCACCTCGCGTGGCAATCTCTAACACATTGCGCTACGCTTGATCTGAGTCCAAGGTGCTTTAGCGTAACTTTGGAATCCTCGAACCCTCCTGCATTTGGGGCTTCTTCAGCGTAACTTTGGAATCCTCGAACCCTCCTGCATTTGGGGCTTCTTCAGCTGTACATGTGAGAAAAATTCTAGGTTAGTATTAATTCTAAGTTCACAAAAACTCATAATCCAATAACCCTTTTTGCTTTTCTTTTTAATCATATGCATTGATTTCGTTTTTTCGATGCGAAAATTTCAGTTTTATATATGTAACTTAAAACTGGTCTAGTTTTCTGTCAGAGAGGCAATGTGTAGCAAGTCTAATTAAGATGGCCATATATGCCAATCCAGCGTACATTTATCTGTTCTTTTTCATAACAACAAGGATTGAGAGAAGAGAGTGAAAAGGAAAAAGTACCAAGATTCATGACAAAGAGGAGCGAAAGAATGCAGCAGAGGAGAAGAACTTTTGACATGTTGCAAGACTGATGGGTGCAAATGCAAGTGTTGGGTACTTGAAACTGTGTCTTGTGGATCCTTTATACAGGCCATAGAGTGGTGTGTTCTTTTTAATGATGTCTTCTTAAAGATGAAATGGAAATGAGATATTAACAAAATAAATCAATTCAACCCCCAACTACATTCATCCATCCTATCCTAGGATAGAAGTTTGAGATAACTCGTAAAGTTTGTTGGGATTACTTTATATGCATTAATTACTGCCTCCGTCCTGTAAAGATAGACCTCTTTCTTTTTTCACATAAATTAAGAAATTTAGCTAATGTAGTTATAATAATTATTTTTTATTCGTACTTTCCTCAAATACCCCTTGTTAATATTAGATCATTCATTCAAAGTAAGAGGTACATATTACTAAATTATTCTTGGAACTTAAGGTACTTTAGTTTTTCAATACAAGAGTCAATCAAATGAATGTTACATGTTTGACTAAAATAAATAACAAAAATAAAATTGCCAAACAATCAAACTTTTCAATTTGAACCCAGTAGAAGGCAACTAATATGTATTCAAAAATTTGTATGGGTATATTAGTAAAATAACAAATTAACTATTCTTTAAAGAAGGAAATAAGTCTATAATTTGGGACATACACAAAAGCAAAGTGAGTTTATCTTTATGGGATAGAGGGAGTATATGTTGACCAACTTTATTCATCCTAATTTTGTTGTTATATTTAGTGAGTTTTCAATTTACCTACATCAAAAATTGCTACAAGTTAAACCATCAATTCGAGCATATCACCGTGCTACAGGTGTAAATGAATTGATACTTGCAAGCTTCATGGTCAAATATCTGCTTGAGTTTGAAGCTTGAGCTCAAGCAATGACATGTAAAACAAATATTCGAATCCAGGACTTCTAATTTTTGAAATTTCAATTTAATCATTAGACTAAATCCTCCTCGACAAATTTAGTTAAATTTAATCATACATTATACAAAAACAACTACTCGTGCTCGACTATTATGGTAGGCCGCTTAATAAAAAAAGTGATATTTCTAAAAGGCATCTCTTTAAATTCCATCTAAGTTATTGCACCCCTGAATTCTGACACTTTTTCTAATTAATTATATTTTTTCAAAAGACTAACATCTTTTCCTAATTAATTTTACTTTTTAGAAAAAACTAACATCTGAAAATCCTTTAAAAATACTTGATATTTCATTTGCTATGAGAACTAAAGCAATTATTGTGCACATATACATCTCTCTCTTTTAGCATCGTTTTTCTTCTTCGAAGATTGACATTGCATAATGCAATGCTTGAACTCTACTCAGCATAACTAGCCTAGTGGATCTTGACTCAAGTAAGTTCGACAATACAGGAAGCCCAAATTCAAGCTTTATTAGAATGTAATGATAACTTTTTTAAGTAATAATATTTATAGATATTTTACATCAATAAATACAAAAATTTATATGCACACGTTTGTGTGAATTTTTGTGTAAATTTTGATTATAGGGATAATTTAAGAAACCTCTCTTGAGCTTTCTAACATTTTCATTGAGTTTCTTCAAGGTTTCAAAGATTATACCTACTTTTCCTGATTTGATAGTTTTAATAACTGAACCTCAAAATCTCCTCAACTTGGTCAAAAAAATTTAAATGAATACCCTAAAATAGATTCATATATTAAAATTTTAATAAAAAGAGAAAGATATTCATATAATAAAAGCTTAATTTTCTTTTCTAAACAATTGTAAAATAATTTTGCACAATTATAAGGAACATGTGTCAAATTTTTCATACTTATATCATTTGATAATAAACTATGATGCTAATCCTATTACTAAGATAGGAAACATTTTGAAGTTGCTTTATTGAGAATATAGATTTCTACTACGATAAGAAAGTGTTACGATAAAATTTTTAGAGTTTATGGATCTTTGTAGTGGTAGAATTACCATAGTTTGACAGTGATTTTGAACTATTGCAATTTGAGTTATTATTTTTTTATCAAAACAAAAATAGGAAAAAAAAAGGATCACATCCAATGTTAACTTGTCAAAAAAGATGACTAGTTCGACATTTGGTCATGATGAAGGCTTAGGACAGTGTTGATAGTCTCATAGTTGTACTTGCAAAATATAAAAGGAAAGAATAAGAATAGAAAAAGAAAAGGAAAGAATAATAGACATCAAAGAAAGAGTTTCATTACAGTGTTATTTTAAAGGCGAATATTATTATTTTTAATAGACATTAGAAGTGGGTGAAATTTCTAAACTCTCAACGGTGGCTAGTGAAATTGTTAAAAACCTCGTGAGGTGAGGTTTGTGAGATGATTCTTTGATTATACTCAATAATCGGTTGTTTCCCTTCCGCCCCTTTAGTCTTCTTAACTGAATTTATGGTTTAGTTATTTGCAATATTTATATAGGTAAAAAAATGGAAAATAAATAAACCAAAATCAGGATGGATAATCCTAGACTTTTAGAACGTTGTAATTAATGCATAGAGAAGCCTAAAGAAAAGAGGGAGAGATCTTAATGCATTCATAAAAAGCCTAACAACCTTAATGATATCTTTAAACTTTTATTCAAGGATAGAAGAGTTAGGTGGGGGTTGATTGTTGAATTAATGTATTCATTCTCACAGACTTTTGAGATCTTACTCCCTTTCTTTTTTATTTTTTTTTCTGTCGAGAGATAGAAACACACACACCCAATTAGATTAGAAATACTCAGGAGATTAACGGTCAGAGGACCCAATTAAAAGTAATCTAAGGGGGACCACAAGAAACCCACATCCAACCAATTGGGAATTGAACGAGAGCCCTATGGACCTTAAACCCAGATTGAAGAACCCACATCCAACCGATGTGGGAAGGAAGCCCCATCCACCCCCGCCCCCACACCCTCACCTTACTCCCTTTCTTTCTTTCTTTCTTTTTCTTTCTTGCTCTTTTGGAAAAGATCATTAAATAACAAACCTTGCTCTATGGCCTGTATAAGGGTCTCACAATAACAAGTTTGACTTAACACTCGATGTTACCCGAAACAAGGAAAATGCCACTGACATTGGGTCCGTTTGTTTCGGGTGAAAATGTTTTCCAGGAAAATATTTTCCTAATTTCCCGTGTTTGGTTGCACAAAAGTTACTGAAAACATTTTCCTATATAAAATATTTTCACTCATCTTATGGAAAACAACTTCCCTTCCAAACTTACTGAAGTTGTTTTCCGAAATGCATGCATCCCGCCTGTAGTATGTTCCAAACTTACTGAAAACATCTTGTAGTATGTTCTTTTTTTTTTTTTTAGTGTAAACAGGAGGACTCGAACCCAAGACCTCTTCCTTACACTCCCTCCCCCGTACCCAACCCAACCCAACCCTCCCCCTAGTATATTCAAAATAAAAAAAAAAAACCTCATCCTGCTCATCCTATGCTAGTAATTAATTATGTATAATAGGGACATTCTTTTCTAGAGAAACTTTCAGCAGTGAGAGTGCAAGATATATGTCACAATAAGCATTGCATGTGATTGATATTTGACACTAAATGGCCAGCAATTTGTTTATTGCTTAAGGAGATATTTTTTATTCATATATACATTTCTCCAAGATTTTTTAAAGTTAAACAATGAGATAAATTTTCTTATTTTGCATGGGAAGAAGTATGTAGTTATAATGTGTAAAAAGTGAAAATAGAGATAAAAGTGAAAATATTTCAAAAGTTAAACAAACACCAGAAAAATGAAGTAAGAAAATATTTTCAATAAGCTAACCAAACACCTGAAAATGATGAAAGGGAAATGATTTTCATGGAAAATTACTTCCACGGAAAATATTTTTCCAAGGAAAACATTTTACTTCCAACCAAACAGACCCATTGAGACAAAACGATACTTTGATTATTGGAGGGGGCTAAGGGTATTTATCTACCATCTTCCGGATAAGTTCGAACTAAAGTAAGCTTAGAGATTTTATTTATTTTCTTGAACAACAAAATAATTATACTTCGTTAATAGATTTCAAGTCTAAGAAAATACCATCATCACTGAACTAGTCATCAATATTCTTCAAAATTTTGTTAACGTAAACATTTAATGATTTGCTCATTAATATGAAGTGTAGAGGTATCACCAAGCTGAATCGAGACGGAGTATTGTATAGCTCAAACGTGATTAGATATAATTTTAGCTTATTTGACCTTAGTCCAAGTAAGGTCAAACAACATGTTGAGCCTAGATCGAACTCTTGTAGTATAACAATTACTTTCATTTTTTAAATAAAGAATATAACGATTCACATCAAGAAATATTTAAAAAATTAAAATAAGGGCCAATTTGAGATTAGGGTAACTTATTGAAAAGTACTTTATTAGTACAGTTTTTAATAAAAGTACTTATTAACTGCTTAAATGCTTTAAATATATTGTTTGGAGATATAGTTTAATAAATAATTATTGTATTGGATAATGTGTAATTTAAAAATTTTTAAAAGTGTTTATCTTTTTATTTAGTTCATAATATAAGACAAAATGATTAAATTTGATATTTTATTTTTTAAATCACAAAAGTTATTCTAAAAGCACCAATTTGAGCTTTCGCTAAATGCTAAAAGTGTTTTTAACACCAAAACTTTACTCTTAATTTTATGGGATGATATTTACCAAACATTTTAAAAGTATTTTTAGCACCTAAATGTACTTTTTTATCACAAGCACTGCAACCTCAAACGGGGTCTAAATACCAAATGTCAAAATGGAAACAATAACTCTTTTATTTGGCAAATAAGAGATTAGTTGACAAAATTGGGAGAATTCTGAAGCAATTAATCTATTACATCCAAACATTTGATTTTGAGCCTTATGCTATCGTTTGTCAAACATCACGCTATTAGAATTTGGAACACATCTTGAAACCAAAGAAGAAAAAAAATGCAAAAATAAATTAATAGCCTTTATTACATCCAACCATTATACCCTCCCCATAGTGGGAGTGTAATAGTCATGATACATATGGCCATTATATACATAATAGACTGGTTGTGGATCCATCGACAAAT